TCTCAGGATCCCGAGAAACTTTCTCAGGATCCCGAGAAACTTTCTCAGGATCCCGAGAAACTTTCTCAGGATCCCGAGAAACTTTCTCAGGATCCCGAGAAACTTTCTCAGGATCCCGTGAAAGAAAGTCAGGGTCCCGTGAAAGAAAGTCAGGATCCCGAGAAAGTAAGTCAGGGTCCCGTGAAAGAAAGTCAGGATCCCGAGAAACTTTCTCAGGATCCCGAGAAAGTAAGTCAGGATCCCGAGAAAGTAAGTCAGGATCCATTTTTATTTACTTTTTCTCCCATGTCCCCTCGCAGGCTCCGTAGACATCACTGCTTTTACTCATAAATTTGTTTTTAGATATTGAAAACAAATTGTTACATCTCTGAATTTTAGACTTAATCTGAAAAAACTTGTTTATTAAAAACATGTAGAATTGGTTCTAACAGTAGAACAGGTGAAGGAGTGTGGTTGAATTACATGTAAGCAGGGAGCTGACCACAGTGACATCCTTAATGTTTTATTTCAGAGGTTTTAGGTGAACTGTGAAGATAAATGAATTCAGTTTAAAGTGTGGGAGCTGAACCTGAACACTGCTGACCTTTGACCCCACTGACCTTACAGCTGTTCTTTGAATGTCTGAATTTAAATGAAGTAAAACGGTTCTTAAAGAGATATTCTGACCTTTTTGAATTGGGTTTCTGTAGAAAATATAAAACGTGGTCTCGGTTTGAGATTTGAATCAGTCTTACACAAAAATGTTTTGCAAACATGTTTTACTTGTTTCTCTGCTCCGACACCTGATTTGAATGAACGGATGATTATCAGCGTGCAGAACTTGAAGAGGTAATTCACTGACTGAATCAGGTGTACTGGAGCAGGGAAAAGGTAAAACATGCAGGGTTGCAGCCCTCGAGGATCAGGATTGACTATCCCTGCTGTACAACAATCTATCTGCAGAAGGTAAGATGATGATTACTCTGAGGTTCACACAGAACCTCACTCCCAATGAGCAGAATATCACTTTTCTGTCAGTTCTAACCCTCAGAGAGGCCAGAGAACACCAGAGATCGGTGCTTTAATGCTCTGTGGTGTCGGCTTGTTTTCCAGTGAACACTTTGAGTTGGTAGATTAAATTCTGTCAGTGTGGTGTCTGAGTTGTTCCTGGTGTTTCCTCCTCCAGTCGGTGTGATCTGTGCAGCTCCAGCTGTGGAAGGAGCCTGGTGGAGAGCTCAGGTCATTACCTTCTACAAAGACACGGATGAAGTGGAGATCAGATACGTTGATTATGGAGGCTACGACAGGGTGAAGATGGACTCGCTGCGGCAGATCAGGTGAGTCGCAGACTTTACCTGAGAGGACGACCAGGGTTGGCAGTTTGATTCCAGGAAGACGTTGAGCCCTGTGTTTAAATGAAAATGTCATCTACAAGTATGAGCTGATCTGCTTGAGTTGTTAGTGCTGTGGTAACGTGCTCAGAAAGAGCTCCATGTTTGGAACATAGATGTACACAAACGTCTCTGAGCTGAACAGATGATGAGCAGTGAGGATTTGTTAAATCTGACTCAGCTGTGTGAGTGTTCTCATTTTATTCCCTTATGTTACATTTTTTGTGGTCAGGTCTGATTTCGTGACACTACCATTTCAAGGAGCAGAGGTCCTGCTGGACAACATCACCCCTCTCCCAGGTACAACAGGAATGTTCTTTAAAGCTTCACCAGTCCCTCAATCACACGGAAGACCATTGCATTCACCTATTAAAAAATATTTGACCCCTGATCTCATAATTACGAGATCTTATCTCATAATTATCTTTTCTCATAATTATGAGATCCTGATCCCTAATTTTTTTATTAGGTGAATGCAATGCTGCTCCGTACAATCAGTCCTCATTGAGGAAAGGAATTTTTAGACATTTTCACTTTAGAGACATTTTTGTCTACTTTAGCATCTGGTTTCAGTTTTTAAAAACCCTCTCATCTTTTTGCCAAATTACAATCAGTGCCTGAAATTCACTTTTGAATTTCGGGGGAAAATCCACACTTGCATGTTTCAGAGTGGCGGGGGATTTTATACATTTTGAGATGGAATTATAATTTATGAGCGCGACTACAGGTTTTATGTTGTGCTTGTCAACATAAGTCAGATGAACATGCTCCTTCTCCTGCCTTACTAGCTGTTATTTTAGCTGCTCTCTCTCATCTCGTTTGAGAGGCTCCTTCAGAACACAGAACGAATAAATGGATGACATGTCTTTTTTTTTTCCCAGGGGAGGATCGATTCACAGCAGAAGCTACATCAGCGTTGGAGGAAATGACCAGAGGTGTTCCTTTGCTAGCACAGGTGAGACCAGCTTTACCCCTGCAGCTCTGCAGAACGCTTCAGTCCGTCAAAGCTGACTGCTCTTGTGTTTTCTCTCAGGTCTCAAACTACGATAACAACACGGGTCTTCCACTCATCCATTTATGGAACATGGTTGGAGAAGAGGTATGATACCCAGATTTACTTAGATTATGTACTGTAAAAAAACGTTTTCAGGGCTTAAAAAAAAGAGGTAAAAACATCCTCAGGTGAATGACAAACACTGTCATCATTTTAAACCAGGTGTGAAACCTAAAGCTACTTTTCTGCTTCCAAATTAAAAATCTTACAGGTGATTACAGATTATAACAGGTAACAGGTTCTGGTCCAGAGCAGAAGTATTAAAGGGGCAATATTATGTGTTTCTCGGGCATACATTTAAATACTATACCATAATAAAGTATCTATGTCACCTTAAGTTGTTATTAAAATGCTGTTTTTGTGTTTAAATAGAAAATAAACTTATCTTCTCATCACTTCCTCTTCTAAACGCCTTGAAATTGGCCTCTGTCTCTTTAAAGGGATCCACGATTATTTGTAACATTAGACTTTATTTGATAAACATTTATTTTAAC